AGCGTGACCCCCTTTTTTCTTGCACTCCTTTCTGTCGTACGTGGCTCATTGACGAGACGTTCGGTTGACGATGCTCGAAAGTCGAGGTGTTTGTTGTTTGCTGCCCCCGTACGCGTACCAACGTACAGCCGGGGTGACCTTGGTCATCGACCGTTATTTCGACACTGGCCACTTTCTAATTCGACCTTAACGCGCGTGTGTTTACGGTTATCGAGTGGCGGCGGCAATGGCGGGCACGCTGCAGTCACTGCAAGACGGCCATCCATCCTGTGCCATCTCGCGCTCTCGCTATCAATATTTCCTGGAAAATTTTCATTCGTTTCTCTCTTACACGGAACGAAAGTTCAGTACATCTTCACGATTCTGCGTGATTTATCGTTTTGTTCAAACTAAAAAATATATTAATGTTTTCTACAATCTGATTTTTTTGACAGAGAAATTATATCATTTTGTGAAAGCTTACTTTGTATTCGATTTAAGTCTCAAACTATTGTTATTTGGAGAAGTATTGTATGCCAAATTAATCTTGAATAATAATGAAAAATAATGGAACGCTGATTTTATCAAATTTTAATGACCTTTTGGCTATCTGTTTTCAAATAGATGTTACTTGCTGGTAGAGCAATTTAAATCCTGATTAACAGTCAGTTATAAAATCGATCGAATTGTTTTGAAAACATTCAAACTGTTTAGAAAAAATTGTTTTAGAAAAACATAACCTCGAACGGGGATTCGATTTTTTAGGTTAGAAATCGAGGAATAGGTAGATTGTTGCCTTTAATCTCTTGCGCTGGTATGATTGTGCCACGCACGTCGAGAATTTTTTGTCCCAAAATTGCAATATTTTCTCAGTTTTAAATATAGTTAAATATAACCCGGGCAAAACAGATAATGAATTTATTACTTCTTAATAATAATTTCTATCCAGTGATATATCGACGAGTTCAAAAAGAAAGCGACAAGTTATTGTATACAGTTTGGTCACTCGTTATGGTCCGTGAACCAGTTGCCAGCGCAAGTGGTTAAGGTACAAGCGAAACATAGAAGTCTGGCCATAGCTGTAAATATATCTGGCGCCTAAGTAGCTTCGCGTTGTAAAACTGTACAAAATTCGCCGCGACACATTGATTTACTTTTGTCTTTTTTTATCGAATTCTTTCTTTTTTTTTTTTTCTTGTTCTTAGTAGTAGCGTTTCCGTTTGGAGAGATAGGATTCCCGTTTACGTATGCGCGTTTCGTTAAAAATAGATTATCGTTGGCAGAGATTAGAGTCTGGAAATAAACATGGATTTTCAGTCAATTTTTATAAAATGAAAAAACAATCTTTCATCTTGTTTTGATTTTCACGATCTCAATGGAGGTTAGACAACTTTTTATAGTGATGATAGAGGTTAGAAATTTATTAAATTTTGGTTGATTTACCCTTTTATTGTTAGTGTAAATTTAAAAGATTCTCCAAATTATTTTCACGTAGTTTTAAATTTATTTTTCCGTATAAAATTAATTGTTGGTTTCTTAAATGTGTTTTTTTCATAATTTCAAATCGATCGAATAACGTACAATACATGAAACATTTATATGCATATAGGAAATTATTGCGTTTCAATTGTTTTTATAAGCGTCGAGAGTATCACCATACCGTCCTCGTATATCCTTATCGTATTAAAACAGTCGGGTTGGTATAATTCTACGCGCAATTATCTGACCGCTCGTGTGATATTTTCCCTCTCTAGCTACGTAAATTTATTGCTCATTTCACTCTGTGCACGTTACGTTCTCTCTCGTCACTCTGTGTCTCTTCAGAGTTAACGTACATCAAGCACTGCTATCCTTTCTAACGAAGAATAAGCGTATAAAATGCTTGATGTAATTTTTTTTTTAATCCGGTAAATAACATCAAATAATCTAATTTATATAAATATTTATATAATATATCTAATATATGTGCTGCAGTTTTGAATCGCAATTCAATATACATATATATATATATTTTTTTTTATTTCACTTTTGACTGAATTGGTCTCGTTGCTGGAAAACATTAGTCGTTTTGTCTTTTTTTATTTTTTTTAAGTATAAATTTATTTACTCATATTCGGAAAATCTCTTCTTAATTTTAGAATTGTACATTGTATCATTGATTGAAATAGGTTACAGTATCGGAACAGTCAGTAGGTTAGTGTCGTTATCGTGAATCAGTTTTTCAAACCGATACCAATGACGCCGAAAAATAGTTATCAGGCGTTTCTCTTCTTCGTTCGACGAGTCGATTTGAAACATGTATACATGTAGAGTCATACGCGTGCTGCATGCGAGGGAAATGACAGGCTACGTCGGCAACGGTAGTAGTAACCGAGTAACGAGAGCAGAGCAAGCTTCAGTCGCCGTATTTCGCAATGATCGCCACGGTTCGCGAGTTCTCGACTATGCTCGATCGATCGCGTACAGATAGAACGTATATATACATGTATATATACACATATCGACTTCGTCCTACGTCACTGGACGAGTATCGCATTTGTGTTCACGTCTCTCCTCGCCGCGCCACATATACAAGGTGTTGCAAAACAAGTGACACAACAGAACTTTAGTCCAATACGATACTGTATCGCGTTTATGACATTGTAGATAAAAAGTCGTTCTAGCTATCTGTCTGGCGTACCACGATTTTCCTTTGCGTACCAAAACGAATGTTTTATTTTCACCAGCGTATACACGATTGTTTCGTTTCAAACCTCGGCGCAAAATGTACTCAGCACGTGTTACTCGGAGATAACGATATTGTTGTAAATATTTTGACTAGCTGCGAGACTAAAACGTATTGTTCTCTCTCTCTTCCCCTCCCTCCCC